AACTAGGTAAACTATTCATTATTAAGGTATGTCAGTTCTTTATTTAAACTAGGAACTATCGTTATTAAGGTATACAGTCTTTATTTAAACTAGGAACTATCGTTATTAAGGATACAGTCTTTATTTAAACAGGAACTATCGTTATTAAGGATACAGTCTTTTATTTAAACAGGAACTATCGTTATTAAGGATACAGTCTTTTATTTAAACAGGAACTATCGTTATTAAGGATACAGTCTTTTATTTAAACAGGAACTATCGTTATTAAGGATACAGTCTTTTATTTAAACAGGAACTATCGTTATTAAGGATGCAGTCTTTTATTATTTTATTTTAGATTTTCTTGCTTCAGAAACCATAAGTCAGATAGAAAAACCCAGTACAATAAGCTGACTTTCAAAAGAGAGAGTCTGCCTTTGTAGGATTAGCTCAGAAACAGCATCTTGGCAGTTTTGTATTTTTCGTTTCATAAAATGTAAATATGACTGGATGTTGTTCCTAAACTAATCTTCTTAATGATAAAATAAAAACACGTCTATTACCAGTTGGAACACTAAGTATTGTATAGAAAACAAAGGGAATCAAAACTTAACCAATGAACCCATTGATCCCCTGTCAAGTACAATCAATTTCAATTAGCAAGTTGGATCCAAGAAATAGTTTTAACAATATCATAAAGTACAACAATCTTTAAGTGTGTTATAACAAAACTGAAACTAATATGAAAGTTAAAGTTAGTATTGCCATAACATTGTTCTTTTGTTGGCCTAGTTCTTTTTAACTATTATGTGAAAATTGATACAAATCCATTTACTTAACCTTGTCTTCTATCAATATCACTCGTACACAATCGTACTTGTAGGCCTAACTTCAAAGATAATATTTTCACTTTCAAATTCAACAGATTTACTCATTAATGGCAAAATGACTAACATAAAAATATAATTTTTTAGGATTTCACAGCTAATCAACTGAACATACGTGGTAACTAACAGTGATGAAACTACTTCACTGAATGAGTGTTGCTCTCTACCAACTGAAAACTAACACACAATCATCAACTACTCAGTGTGAATACTTCACTGCTATTTCACTCTAATAACTCCTATTTATTTATTTAACACCTCATTCATATGGAACATTCACAGCATCTTAGGCCCACTCCCTCAAACTTATTTGATCTTAATGTCATGCACCCTCTAGATAACATCAGAATTAAAAATGTTGAAAATATGGCTTACAACAGTATTATTCCAATCAAATAATACATATAACAAAGAGTATGCAACCACTTCTGTCAAGAAAACACAAGCTACACTGTTAATGTAACTAAAGCCTATGTTAAAAATACCATACAAATTAAACAATAAGTAAGTCCATTCTCAAGCTGAATTACTTTCAAATGTGTGTTTTAAAACAAACTACAGTTGGTGAACTGAGCTCAGTAATACATAGTGTAAAGTATTTTTAACCGGTAACATTGATCTAAACATTTTTAATGAAACAGAAACACTATTAGATTTCATTCTTCTTGGAAATTTTATGTAAAGTAGATTTCTAATTTTTGATACACATTCCTATTTTTTTTTCACAATGATATCAAATACAAGTTTCTGTTGTATGATTTTAATACCTATATACAGGCATTCCTCGTTTTAAACAGAAAAAACTAAGTCTCAGTAGAAACACAAATAGATGTTGACCTGTTGAGGTAATGTCCAACACAAGATAAAAAACTACCCAGGTAAAGACACCCGTGAAGGAAGTAGAAACAAAAACAGAGGAAACTTTATCATGATGGAGTCTCAGCATGAACAAGAAAAGTAAGAACAGATCACATTATATTACTGTAATAAATAATAATTAAAAAATTCTTCAAAGAACCTGTAAGAAATATTTCTAAAAGTAATGAATTTTGAAGAAACAAGCTAGGTAAGACCCAACCATATAAGATGGACTTCTACAGCAGAAACAAGCTAGGTAAGACCCAACCATACACGGGAGACTTCTACAGCAGAAACAAGCTAGGTAAGACCCAACCAGAAACAAGCTAGGTAAGATCCAACCATACACGAGGGACTTCTACAGCAGAAACAAGCTAGGTAAGACCCAACCATACACAGGAGACTTCCACAGCATAAACAAGCTAGGTAAGACCTAACCATACACGAGGGACTTCTACAGCAGAAACAAGTTAGGTAAGACCCAATCATACACGGGGGACTTGTACAGCAGAAACAAGCTAGATAAGACCCAACCATACACGGGGGACTTCTACAGCAGAAACAAGCTAGGTAAGACCTAACCATACATGTATGGTCTAGGAAGAGCAAGCCAACTCATCATACTTTGTTCAACATTCCATAAGGTGAAGGTCTGATCTGATTTTCTGGAAAGAGCTGACCCTCTAAACATCTTAAGATATATTTTAAACACAAATTTTGGTAGTTTTTTTTTCTTCTGAGCCTCTGATTCACAGAAAAGCAAGATTTTCACTGTCATGTTGTAGAGTAATTTCATTCAGTAATACCCAACCAGAAGCTGTAAAACACAATATTTAATAAACCTTGTAAGTATGTACACATTTGTAACTAAACAGTTATTGCAAGGAGAAGACTGCCAGCATACAAAATGAAATGTGAAACACACAAGAAAATTAAACAAAAAGCTTTCCACCTGTAAATATTAATAGATCTATATACATTTTACCATGAAGTGTTACTTTAATACAATATCAATCATTTAGAAAATGCTATTATACTCTTACTCACTGTAATTTAAATTCCAGTGATACGTGATGTATCACGTTACAAATAAAGTATTTTTCTTATATCCATTAGTCCTACATCAAGAGGACAGCTTTTAGCCACGATGATACACAGTTCAATGATAACTGACCACAAGTTGCTTCTACTCTAAAGCTAATGTCAATTCTTTATACATTAGCTATGATCAAAGCATTAGATTATATAGAGAGATAATACTGGAAAAGGTGTTAAAATATGTATTAAACATAACAAATACATTTGAAGAAAACCTGTTTTAGTCTTAAACAAGGATAACATTTAACTTGTTACTTTCAAGTAATGGCAGAGATTCAAAAATATCTATAATAAGTTAAGATTGAAAACACTTATAAATATATATATATTCAGTTTCCAATATGTGTGAAATAATCAATAATTCTGATACAACTGGTACGACAAAAATCAGAGTAAGCTGGGTTCTATAACAGGATGAGAAAATATCTATAATAAGTTAAGATTAAAACACTTATAAATATATATATATTCAGTTTCTAATATGTGTGAGATAATCAATAATTCTGATACAACTGGTACGACAAAAATCAGAGTAAGCTGGGTTCTATAACAGGATGAGAAAATATCTATAAGTTAAGATTAAAAACACTTATAAATATATATATATATATTCAGTTTCCAATATATGTGAAATAATCAATAATTCTGATACAACTGGTACGACAAAAATCAGAGTAAGCTGGGTTCTATAACAGGATGAGAAAATATCTCAACATGCACGGTACCACATAATAATTACAATAATGTGCATAGTAAAACATAATTACATGGCTTCCACAGCACATATAGCGAAACGTAACTGCACGGGTTCCATCACATGCATGGTAAAACATAACTACACGGGTTCCATCACATGTATGGTAAAATATAACTACACGAGTTCCATCACATGCATGGTAAAACATAACTACACGGTTTCCATCACATGCATGGTAAAATATAACTACATGGGTTCCATCACATGCATGGTAAAACATAACTACACGGGTTCCATCACATGCATGGTAAAACATAACTACACGGTTTCCATCACATGCATGGTAAAACATAACTACACGGGCTCCATCACATGCATGGTAAAACACAACTACACAGGTTCCATCACATGCATGGTAAAACATAACTACAC